GGTTAAATTTTTTTTTTAAAATAGGTAATGAAAGAAGGTGTGGTTAAATGATCTCATGATCTGAAAGGTCAGTAGTTACTTTGCCGCTCACTTCACCTAACAGCCCGAGTCTACTTTTTAGTGAGTGATGCGAGTGATAATGGTGATGGATTTGCCGACAATATATATAATATGATATCAACTTTTATTATTTTTAAATTTTGTTCTAATTACCTAAAAAAACTTATATTTTTTTCCCTTTTTATTAATTTGATTTAAGGGTTAAAATGTTATTCTGTTTTTAAGTTTTTACTTTTGAACATTTTTAATTTTAATTTTTTTTACTTTTTTTTGTTTATAAATTATAAAATTTATTTTTAATCATTCCATCAATTTACCTATTAAGTCTTGTGTATATATACACTTTTTTTGTATTTTTAAAATTATATTTTGTAATGCATCTAGTATGTTACAGCATATAAACTAACTTTTAATTAGTGTAATTTTTTTATTAATAATGAATAAATTTTTTTATTAAAAAAACGTTAAGAACTAAAAAGCAACTTTCAACCTAGAGTTTAAAAAATAAAAGTTACTACCTCACTAACTTTATTTTTTACTTTCAAAGATAATTATTTGAGATTGACTTAAAATTCAAAATTTTAAATTTACAAATACCAACTTGAGTAAGTTTTTATTAGTTTTTACTAACCTTAGTGGTAGAGGTGATAAAAATTTACTCGACTTGTTAATCCGATTCTAACGTAACTCATAAAAGTGAGTTAGGATTTATATATTACAACTCGTAGTAGATAGTCTGTAATGTCAATCCATATATGTCACAGGTTGTGTTAAGGTCAACCGACAAGTTAACGAATTGATTCGTTTATTTTATATTTTTATTTTTTAAAAAAATATTATATTTATTATTATTAATTAATTTTTTTATTGATAAATCTCTTTATTAATTCATACTCTTCAGCCTCATTTCCGTTACTTAAATGATTTTGAATTTATTTTGAGTGTTTACTCATCATAATTTTTTCTCTTTTTTTTCTAGAAATTATATGAGTTTGATATAATTGTCAAGTATCATGAATTAAATAATAATACAACTAAAAATATTAAAAGTGTGATGTTAGGATATAAACATGCTAAGGAGATGTTTGGTGAAACTTGTAAATACTTCAACTTTTTGATACTATTCATGTTTCATAAGTTAAATTTTCCTCTTAAAAACTTACATTTTTTAATTTCTTTTTAACCTTAAAAAGATTTTTAATAGTGAATTTTGAAAAGGTTTAAACTTTTATTTTTTATAAACCTCCTTTTTACTTATTTCTTATTTACTTTTTTATTATTTCTAAAAGCAATTTTTAAATTTTTTCTTCAATAAAAATTTAAACTTATAACTCATAAATAGTACTAAAAAAAATAAAAACTCCAATAAACTTTACCAAACAGGCCCTAATCTAGTGAAAGAAGTTTTTGAAGGAGCAATTTCATCGAAAAAAAAAAAAGGTTTAAACTCTTTAATAATGTTTTAAGATTATTGTAAAATTAAAACTTTATTTTTCAAAATATTTAAATATTTTAGGTTTAATATTGTTAATTAATTTACTATTATTTATAATTTTATGATTTTTTAAAATTTAAATGTTTGTAATTGAGCCTATAAGTGCTTAATATTAATAACTTATAATACTTTAATTAGATTTATATATATAATTTTATTTATATATAATAAAATTAATAAAAATAATTATGAAAAATAAAAATAAGGTAAATTCATGGGTTGACCCATAATTCATTAGGGTCAAGTTAGGGTTGATTTTTGCCAACCCGTGACCTATTTACAACTCTATCAATATAACCCATCACCTAAGTTGATTTAACCCGAACCTAACGCACTTTACCCATTTGTTAGGCCTACCATCAAATCTTTTGTTAGATTACATTATCAACTTAAAAACTTCAAAAAGGGATAGAGAGAGATAGAGACCAAAGAGAGCTTTTGTTAGATCACATTCAACTTGAAAACACAAAGA